AAACTACCAGATTGTGTGACAGTTTGAAGGAGTACTGTATTATTATTAATATTATGATCTTTATAGAGCGCCGTCAAATTCCGCAGCGCTTTTCAATGGGTGGACGAACAGACATGTAGTTGTAACTAGACAAGTTGGACACACAGGAACAGAGGGTTTGAGGGCCCTGCTCAATGAGCTTACATGCTAGAGGGAGTGGGGTAAAATGACACAAAAAGGTAAGGATAGAATCTTTGGTTCTTTCTTGATAGCTTGTAATGATGTCTTTGAGGAATGAAGCATACAACAATGATGTGTTAGTGTTTGCACAGAGATCTGATTCAGCCCCAGTCCAATCAGAAAAATTTAGGACAACGGGTATGTGCATATAATCAACATTATTTATCAAAATGCCTGGGAGAGGGACAGCTAGAATACCACTTGTTGGACCTGAATGTAGTTCAGGACACTGTACAGACCTTTTTGTATGAATTGTCTTAACATTTAGGGTTATTATACAATAAACTATGTTTCTTCCATCTTGTTCATTGGGTTCCATGTTTTCTACTTTCACACAGTAACCACTTGCATCTTCCAACTGTATTTTGTTAAGTATAATAGAACCATTGTTTTCATATCCAATTACTCTTCCTTTATTTCGACTGCCTTCATATGTAGATGGTCAATGGCTTTTGTTAAACGTGCAAAGATTACACCATACAGAATCCTGTTACGTACTGATGCACTTGCATCATAGGTCACTGGAAGCAAGACATCATTCCCTGGACTGCCGACAACAGTGCTCTGATATATGTTTAACTTCAATGCAGAGGTAGGATGGACCCAGCTCCACAGAAGAGGAATTAGCAGCATCGGTAACATGCTTGAAAAACAAGTTCAATTTTGGTAAATAAAATTATCATTGAGAAATTATTTGCTATAATTATACTTTCAAGTACGTTAAAGTTGAGAGTTTGAAAATATTAAAAGGACATTACAGGCACTTTAACTGCTGCATCTCATCGAAGTGGTTATAGTGTCAACTCTCTCCATTCTTTAATTAAGCATTTAAAAATTTTCATTGCTTTAATGCTGAACACTCCCTAGCATTATCCCCTAAGTGCTGCTTAGGCTAATGAGGAAGTATTAGGCTGAGCAGCAAATGGCGGCTGTGATTGGGTAAGAGTACTTTCAGCCTATCAAAGTGACCATTGCTGCTATAAACTGATTTGACTAGAATGAAGTGTGTAATATCTGCCTTAGCTGCCAAGTTGTCAGTAGTTAGAAACCCTTACTTACTTACTTAATGGAGGAACTGCACCAGAGAACTCAAGGCATTGTAACCAATCCAATGAAATTAAATGCTTATAGTGGCTACACTGTCCCTTTAATACTAGGCTTATAGCTTACATAAAAATGCAGGTATGTTAGATATTAAGTCAAAAAATGTAAAGTCTGAATTATATTATTTTATCTTTTAAACATATAAACATTTTGAACATTGTACAAGCATCTGTAAAAGAGCATATAGTTTTACTATAAAAATTTAGGAGTAGCAATAGTTTTACAAAAATAATATATAGAAAGGCACTGTAAATTAATTTTATAATATTATTATTATTAGCATTTATATAGCCTCAACATATTCCGTGGCATTTTACAATAGTAGAAATGGGATATTTGAAAGTGAAGAAGTTCTCGCTCAAACAAGTTTACAATCTCTAAGGATTTGAGGAAGGCGGTTATGTATCATTAGATGTCTTTCTCAATGACACGTACTTGTAACGTGGTCTAACCGAGATTTAAGTCTGGGTTTCTCTGTTCTTAGGAAGTGCTCTAGACAGCCAATACCTATACTACAAATATGATTGCAGCAGAGAAAGTAAATCAAAGAAAAGTTAAAGAGAAACTGTGTGTCCAAAAATGAGTGATTTTTTTTAATACATTTACTAAAATTTGCACAAATATTTCCTATAGCCGTAAATCATATATTTCAATAGCTGCGGAACTGGTTCTTGAAGGTTTACCTCCTTTTTTCTCAGCTCTAACTTCCTTGTGAGTTCTGGGCATTGTCCAGTCAAATGCTTCTCATATAGGAAAAATCTCCAGTTAAAGGAACACTCCAAACACCTAAAAACAGCTCAAAAAGTAGGTAAGTGGCTAAAAACAGAGAGAGAAAAAAACCTTTATTACGTCATTGGACATTAAAAGTAATGTGAAAAAACACAAAACAGTGCAGAGTGTATAAAGTGATTAAAAAGGGGGATCTAACGGAGCTTACTATAATGGATCCATATACTAACTAATTTAAATGAAATATACGTATGAAAAAATACGCTATAAAATATATATGTGCACCTACAGAAAAGGTAGCTTTACCTATATGCATATGTATATATCTATTAAGGCTGAGAGTGCATCATATAAAAAATGTATGAGAAGTCAAGTAGATCAAAAGAAACCCTACTCCAAAGATATAGCAAATAGGCACTGTCGAGCATCTATATCAGGGGTAGTCAACCTTTTTCTACCTACCGCCCACTAATGCATCTTTCTTGATGGAAAAATGTCCTTACTGCCCACCAGTTTTCGCGCGAGTGCAGAATATTTTTTAGAAAGGAGGGTGTTTTAAAAAAAAGTAATAAATGTACATACATTTATCTTTTTATTTCTACTTCATGCATCTACATAATCTACAAATCCAGCGACCAGTACCAGAATCCCCCGGGCACCACTCTGGGAAACACCACGACCACATCAGACCCGTCCAGCCAAGAAGCAGCTGCAACTCATCCGACAAGCACAAGACCACGACCCGTGAACACAACAAAGCTGAAGCCCAACGGGTGCAAAGGAGAACCTGCAGGGACTGCTCTGAGCGGCAGAGCGGAATAACCGCCATCGACCACCCGGACGGAAAAAACTCTAACATATATCCTTTACTGGAACTGTATAATAATTACAAAGTTTAGTGAAAGGACTGAGCAAAAATATTGGGATGCTACTTAAAGAGTTGGGGGAAAGGGGCCGGAATAGAGGGGATAGGAAAAGGCGCTAAACAGGATAGGAGGAAGGGGGGGGGAGGAAAAAGCAGGGACAGGGGGCACATTTGAGTATCAGTGAAGCGGGGGAAGGAAGGGAGGGGGAGGCGGGGAACTGTGATGATCAATGTTAACAAAAGCACACCTAAACACTGATCCAGGACCTCAGTACCCTCGCACTTAAATACGCCATACACCATAGCAGCCCAAAAGAATGAGGAACCCAGGCTAACCACCCTGGCCCACTAGCAATCTCCAATACCCACAGGAAAGGCCCAGTATAGGCCCCCTACACCCCCTGCGCGCGAACCCTAAACTAAACCAGCCCATAGTGGGACGCACTGAGAGGACCCCCCGTGTGATGCACCACAACACATGGGACGAAAGGTGCACACCCCATCCAAGTCAGGATGAAGCCGCGCACCCCACTCCACCACGCCTGACAAAAGCCCTAAGACCAGGCAGTTGTTATTGTTTATGTTGTTACTGGTTAAATATGTTAAGTTGGTCTCTCTTGGTCTCACTAAGGGGTAACACATTGAGCTCCCAAACGGGGTCCCGAAAGTCTACATAGGACAAGCAGGCAGGTCATCCCAATAGCCAGACGCAACAAACCCAACCACACCACCATGCCAGCTAGTCTAACGTGCATCTCTATAAACTGCAAAGGGCTAAACAATCCTACAAAACGACACAGACTCATGCGATGGGCCAACCGCACCAAAGCAGAAATCATCCTCTTACAAGAAACACACTTCTACGCAGAGCGCCCCTTCCCCCTCCTGAGCCGCCACTTCAAGGCCTGCCACTTAGCCAATTCTGACACAGGTAAACACAACGGAGTGGCAATCCTTCTGAGGAAATCATGCCCACTACAAGTCAAGTCCACTCACAAAGACCACCATGGACGCTACCTAACGATAACAGGCACAATAGGGCCATCTAAATATGCTATCTCCTCCATATATGCCCCTACAACCCCGGAACCTGAATTCTGGCCCACATTACAAGCCCACCTCAGTCTACACCCGAGTCACCATAAAATCATAGGAGGCGACTTTAACGCAACCATCTCCCCAACGATAGACAGAATGCGACAACCACAGCATTCAACTACACAAAACCAACCATCCAGATCGGACAAACTAATGGCAGACTTTATCTCCAACACAAAACTTATCGATATATGGAGAATACACCATCCAACTGCACAAGACTACACATTTTACTCCCACCCACATAAAACTTATTCCTGCATTGACTACTTCTTGGTTTCCCCGTCACTTCTCCAGATTACGACAACAACAGCAATAAGCAATATAACCTGGTCTGATCACGCCGAAATATCCTTAACATTTCAGCCACCACAAATCTCCAGACCCTGGTATTGGAGACTCAACCCGATCCTACTACACGATCCACAAACAGTACAACAACTTAAATCAGAACTCATAAACTATTTCACCACGAACGAAGACTCAGTCCAATCACAAGCAATACTGTGGGCGGCACACAAAACGGTACTTAGGGGCTCCCTCATCAGCATAGCAACAGCACGCAAAAAAACACGCCTAGCATACATAGAAACAACTCTTAACGAAATTAGAAACCTAGAAGCCAAACACAAGCATTCACCCACCCCCGACCTCACTGCAAAACTCCAACAGCAGAGGCAAACCCTCAAGAACGCAATGACAGCCGATGCAACTAAAGCCCTTCAATGGACACGACAAATGTTTTACGAAAAATCCAATAAAGCTGATACCCTCCTCGCATACAGGCTACGCAAACGAACACAGGCCAAACACATAGACCACATTCCCACACCTTCTGGGAACACCACAGATATTACAGTGAAAATCGCAGAGACATTCCAAACATATTTCTCAGATCTATACGACCACTCCCCACAGCACAGACAAAACACCTCCAACCTAACTGACCGCATCCATACATTACTCGAACAAACCAAATTACCCACCTTACCAGACGGCGCACTCGCACAACTCTCGGCTGACGTCTCGGAACAGGAGATGGCAGCCGCGATTGGAGCCACCAAACCAAATAAAAGCCCGGGCCCAGATGGATACTCAGGCATCTATTACAAAACACTTTTTTAGACACACTACTGCCCCATATGATAAGGCTATATAACTCCCTACTACAAGCAAAACCACTCCCCAAAGAAATGCTACAGGCTAACATCTGCCTCTTACCCAAGCCCAACAAACCCCTATCAGCCCCAGGCCACTACAGACCCATATCCCTCTTAAATGTGGACTTGAAGATTTTCACTAAAATACTCTCCAACCGGCTCTTAAAATTCCTCATCAAACTGATCCATCCAGACCAGGTGGGTTTCATCCCCACCAGACAAGCCAGTGACAACACCAGAAGGATGCTAGACCTGATCTTGATGGCAAACCAACGCAACATTCGACCCTTCTCCTATCCCTAGACACCGAGAAGACCTTTGATAGACTTCTCTGGCCATTCCTTTTTGCCACTTTGGAGAAACTCGGCTTCCCCAAACCCTTACAAGATGCAATCAAAACAATATATACCAACCACACGGCCAACCTCCTCATACTGAACACAAACCCACCTACCTTCTCCATAAAAAATGGAACTTTGCCCTCTCCCTCGAACCATTAATGCACCTCATTCGCACTACACACACGATCACAGGTATCACAGAACGCACACAAACATACAAAGCAGCGGCATACGCCGACGACCTGCTATTGTCACTCACGAACACGTCACACTCCCTCCCACCCATCCTCAAACTCATAGAGGAATATTCCGAAGTATCGGGATACCGGCTAAATCTAGATAAAACCAAGGCACTCATGCTCAATATAGTACCAAACCACAGACAAGAGATACAAAACACATACCCATTCAGATACAACACCTCACACATCTCATACTTAGGAATCGCTCTACAAGTGGAACTACACCGCACATCCGCACTAAACTTCACTCTGATACAAAAACCAACAAACGACCTGCTCCGCTGGGGGGACTTGTCTTTGTCGTGGCTGGGATGGCTAGCCTCGATAAAGATGAATCTGCTACCATGCTACATTTAACCCTCCCCATTCCAACACGGATTTCAAATACATACAAACACACATAGACAAATTCATCTGGGTGAATAAACGACCCAGAATAAAACGAACAATGATGTACATCCCCAATAGAACTGGAGGTCTGGGTCTAACCCATCTCCAACACTACTACCATGCTGCCCAACTCCACGCACCACCAGGGATCAAACCGTGGGTTGAACTGGCACACGACCTATTTGGCTTCGACTTCCCCTCCCTCTACCTCTGGGTACCAAGAAAATCCAGACCCATGCCACAACCAACACCCACAACACTATCAAACTCCATCGCCATATGGGACAAACTCACCAAGAAATTCCCCATCAACAATAACCCAACACCACTAACCCCCATACTGTGCAATAAAGCCTTCCTCCCAGGCATTAACCCGAAAGACTTTGCACACTATGAATACAATGACCTCTATAGGTTCTACCACTTCTTTGTTGGTGGGAAACTACTACATTACAATAAACTACCACAACCACACTGAACTTACAACACTCACGACCTCTTCAGATACATACAATTGAGGAGCTTCCTGGAACTCCCAGAAAACACAACAGCAGCCACCACTAGACTTACAACGTTCGAAAGAACATGCATACACAACCCAAATCACAAAGGACAGATCACTAAAAATTACACACTATTAATTACTAACCAACCACCGGGAGCAATGGCATATGTGGCGGCTTGGGAGAGGGACCTGGACCACCAGATGACCCGACAGACTGGCAGGAGATATGGGAGGCCACGGCATCCATATCCATATGCGTAAATCAGAAATAACAGGCCTACAAAACTATGATGAGATGGTACCTAACACCTACACGGCTATACCACATGGGAAAGACGGACACAGACCTGTGCTGGAAGCAGAGCGGACACAGGGGCACATATATACACCTTTAATGGCAATGTCCCAAGCTGACACCACTATGGACAGAAGTAGCACACCTGATCTCCGACCTCCTCCACACCGACATACCCCTAGACCTCTGGGTATGGCTCCTGTCCAAGCCATGGGAACCCCTAACTAGAGCACAAAACAAACTCACGAACATTCAAATGCACAGACTGACACTCATAGAAATACAAACAGTGACACACATGCAGACAAACAGATACAAACAGTGACATACAGTTGCCTAAGCAACTAGACGAGCAATAGCAGAACTCTGGGGCACCCCAAATATACCCACACTAGCTGTAGTCATACGCAAAACTAGGGAGGCCATGGAGATGGACAGGCTCTCAGCCAAGATCCACGAAACATCACATCACTTCTATAAAATTTGGGACCCATGGCTGAACGAGCCCTCCCTAACATGAGACCCCACAGCACCAATACCACCCAAACACTAGGCCAAACAGCAGGACCCCGCACCCATACCACGAGGGAGGGGGGACCTCAGCCTTTATGATAGAGGGATATCCCTGGCACAGACTGGGGTGGATGGCCCACACAGGAGCTCATCCAAGCAACCCATGAGCAGGCCTAACACACAAGATCACACCCAAAGAGCACGCATGGCCGCAACAAAAGCGCCCAAAACACGCCCATGCAGGGAACCGAAATACCAAACTGGAACCCTTGACACATTAAACAGAACCACAACTTAACCCCCGAGACCGAGGACTCGTACCACTTGTATTTGTATATATGTGTTATTTTTTGCGTTACATTATTTTATATTACCTTGTACATCTAGCTCATAGACAATGTGGCATAACATGATGCAGCCAAACAGACAGGCACCGACTAAAAGATCTGAGAAACCAAACGTATCACATGCCTCTGTCTGTCAAATCATGCATATCAAATGTCTATGTAATGTATGCCTTTTTTCTCTTTTATTGTGAAAACCTGAAAACCCAATAAACACAGAATGTTTTAAAAAAAAAAAAAAAAAAGATAAATGCAGTTTTCCAATTCAGATACTTGTTAAGACACAAATCCTGTTCACTACAGGACTACTGACTGGCTAGTTGAATTGTTGTAACAGATGCATAGTCTCATTTGAAAGTATAAACTAGCAGCATAAATAAAAAACAGTGCTGTTTAGAATAAGGCTGCAGGACTACTGACTGGCTAATTAAATTATTGCGTCAGATACATAGTCTCATTAGAAGGTATAAACTCGCAGCATAAGTAAACAGTGCTGTTTAGAAAGGAGCACAATCGAGTAACAAAGTATCTAGGAAGGAAAAAGTTTCAATTTCCCAATTACGACACTTTGTACTGTGCTGCAAGGTCAAATCCTGTCTATTCCAATAGTGCTGGCTGACTAGTTAAAAATGCTCGATCAGCTGCATAAAGTTGAGGGAACAGAACTGTCTACCAAGTCTTAAAGCCATGTAAATATAGCTAACAAATAGGCAAGTCTATGATCCCTATAGATGGCCCAGATAACATAGGGAAAATATTGTGGCAAAACATTTCACACACCAATGTAGTACAGTCCAGTCTTAAAGTATCTGGGAAACAAGAAATTATTATAGTTTCCCAATTAGACACATAGTACTGTGTCCCAAGTATACACAAATCCCATCAACTGCAAGAAAACCGCTGATTTTATTAAAGACACGGAGGCTCATATTATGCATAACTCTTTCTTTATTTCCTCAGCAGCAAAGATAGAGGAATATAAATATTGTCAAAATGAAAAAAAAAAACTGTATAGCTACACAGGCAACCAATCACATAACAGAGGAAGTGACTATATAAGGCCTGTATCTCCCACAATCCCCCTCTTTCTTTGCTGTTTCCTCAGACAGCTAAGTACCTTGCTTTTATGCTCCTTACTCATTGTGTTTTGTTTGATCTTTTATTGCTATTTGTTGTGTAATTGGGATTTGTTTTGTTTTGTTATTATTGCTGCCTGCTCTGTGCAGCTGTCTTTTCTGTTTATCCCTTCTTCCCCTTGTGCTGGTGTATTCACCTTTTATTCCCCCCCCCGCGCCCGCCCTGCTTGCCGGCGGGTGCCGCGCGGGACCTGGATCCAGCTTTCAGCCGCGGCTATTTCTAACACCTGCCGCGGCTGTCAGTGTCTCTCGGCTCGCTCGCAGGCTGCCCGCGCGGGTAGGTGCACGCGCCCCTTCCCCCGCCGGGTTGCAGTCCGCGAGCGCACTCTGCACGTGCGGCGGCCATCTTGGGGGCGGTCCTTCTCCGTCTCGGTCGTTCCCTCTGCTGCCGTGCGCTCTGCTCTGCCTCTGGGTCCCTGGGGTACACCAGTACAAAGGTTTTTTTGTCCCCTATTCTCCTTTTCTGTGGGTTAATCAACCCTTTTGCTCTGTCACTTTGTCCTTATAGCTTATAGCTTATCATACTGGGTTTTTTCCTTGTACATTGGTTGCCACTATGCAGGATAGGGAGGAAGGGCCTGAGGGCCTCACCACTGATTTTACTCCAGACAATCCTGAGGGGGTTAATGCTTCCCAGGAATTTCAAGCCCTGCTAGATGCCACTATGGCCTCTTCCTTGCAAAAGGCTTTTGCTTCAGCCATGGGTGCTGTATCCTCCTCCTTTTCCCAATCCCTGCATTCCTTACTATTGCCTTCCATGGCGGCCCCCGCCCTCCTGGGCATGGGAACCTCCTCACCTACCCCGACTGTGCCTGGGGCCCGTAAGGCTAAGGCAAAGTCAAAACATGTCGACTCCCACTCCTCGATGCAGGTTCTACCTGCCATGACTGACATGCTAGAGACGGTCACTGACAGCGCGCCTCCCACGCGCAAAAGAGCCCCTGGCCGGGCTAAAAAGGCTAGATTATGGAAACGGGCTAAAGCCCTGGATGATGGGTCGGATACCGACCGGAGTGTGGAGAATGAGTCCGACGTTATGGAGTATGACTCCTTTGATGAGGGTGAGTCGGGTGAGGACTTACCACTTACGGGTGTGACCCCTTCTGGGACCTCCGCCACTGCCCATAATCAAATACTAGACCCCACAGGGGATACCAAAGCGCTGTTTGACCCTCAGGGCAACCCTCTATTCGACCCCGACGATCTCCGTCACCCTAGGTCCGCAGAGTGGGTTCCCCCAGACCATATTGCTCAATACGTGGCACGGCGTATGCTTACCCCCCTTTTCAAGGAGGGTCGCAATAAGTTGCGGGCCGAATGCCCCAGGCCCTCTCTACCGGGCGCAGCCTGCAAAACCCCTGACATCGATCCCCAGATTGCTCAATTCCTGAACAAGTCAGGTTGGAAGCCCAAGAAGGGCTTGGACTATTCGCTCAAGGGATGCCAGGACAAGATCTTGGATACCCTGGGCCCTTTATCCAAATTATACGAGCTCCTGGACGCCGCTAGAGCAGGCAATTCCGTGCTGGACATTGTCGTTGCCATAGGTTGGGTCCAGAGGGCTATCTGCCTTTTGGGGAACGCAAATACTGCCATGTCCTCGGAGAGGCGTAAGGCGATACTCCTTAAACCTGACCCGAAATTAGCTGCCATGACGGTGGCGGAACCTGGTCCATCCGAGGAAGGGGTCTTGTTCGGTACTTCTTTTGTTAAGGACTTGGGGTCATATGTTAAGACCTTTACGGCCATTGACAAAGCGCAGGCGAACATGAAGCGCATGTTCGCACCCAAGGTTTTCGGAGGGGCCGGGCGTAGCAGGAACCGTCCACCCGGCCGCGGTTTCCGAGGCTCCTTCCGTGCCCCCAGAGGTTCCTTTTTCCCGTCCCGGGGATTTCAGGATTCAAGGACGCCTCCTTTCTTCCCAGCCAGAGGGAGATCTTGGGGCTCCAGATAAACCCGCGGTGCCGCTTCGGGCAGACGCCCTTATGGTGAGTACCCTTTCTTCCCCTATCACTCAGGTGCGGGTAGCGGGCAGGCTGGCTCTGTTCCACCAGGGGTGGGCAAGTATTACTTCAGACGCTTGGGTCCTACAGTGTGTAAAGGGTTATCGCCTGGAGTTTTTTTCTCTGCCTGTCCAATTTCATGTCCCCAGGGAATTGTCTCTTCCGCCAGAGCAGGACGAGATGATCTCCGCGGAAGTCGGGGAGATGCTATCAAAAGGCGCAGTAGAAGAGTTGCCGTTCGCCACTCCGGGCTTTACGAGCAATCTCTTTCTGGTACCCAAGAAAGGGGGCGGGGTCCGTCCGGTGATAAATCTCCGTCCTCTCAACGCATTCCTCCGATACCAGCATTTTCAGATGGAAGGTATACACTGCCTCAGAGACCTCCTTCGGCAGTCGGACTAGCTGGCCAAGTTGGATCTGAAGGACGCGTATTTCGCGTGTTTCACCAAGATCATGAAGCATGTGATGGAGTTCCTCCGTACCCGTGGGGTACGTTTGATCATTTACCTGGACGACATTTTAATCATGTCCCAGTCCAGAGACCATCTTCTAGTGCATTTGGGATGGACGATCGATCTACTTCAAAACCTGGGTTTCATGATCAACTGGGACAAATCTGTCCTAGACCCCGCACAATCGATGGAATTCTTAGGTTTCCAGGTGGATTCCATCCGCCAATTTCTATACCTGCCAGATTCGAAGGTGAAAGCCATCCAAAAGGAGCTGCGAAGGGCTCTTCGTGTACCAGACCTGTCCGTCAGACAGTTGGCACGTATTATCGGCCTCCTTGCAGCCTCCATTCAGGCGATATTCCCGGGACCACTGCATTACCGTGCCCTCCAAAGGCTCAAAGGTTCGCACCTCCGGTTGGGTCATTCCTACGAATCTCGGGTACGACTGGACGAGGAATCCAGAGACGAACTGGTTTGGTGGTTGGCACACATGGAAGCCTGGAACGGGAGGGCCATCTTCGGTTCCGTCCCGGACGTGGTGATAGAGTCAGATGCCAGCTTACACGGCTGGGGTGCTCGCTGTGGCAACGTTTCCACAGGAGGCAGATGATCCTAGATAGAGAGATCCCTGCACATCAACTGTCTGGAACTCTTCGCAGGGGCGATTCGCAGCCTTACCCCAGGGCGGGCGGACTGCTGCGTTCTCCTCAAGATGGACAACGTGTCTGCAGTGCGCTATATAAACCACCTTGGGGGCACCAAGTCCAGGATGTTAGCCCTGTTGGCAAAGGATTTTTGGCAATTTTGCCTTTACAACAATGTCTCCGTGACAGCGGAACACATTCCGGGACTGGACAATTCAGACGCGGATTGGAATTCCAGGCATTTGAGAGACTCGGGAGACTGGCACTTGCATGTTTCGGTATTCTGAGGCCTGGACAGACTATGGGGACGGTTCAGGATGGATCTGTTCGCGTCCCGTCTGAACACTCAACTACCAGAATTTTACAGTTGGAGGCCGGACCCGGCGCCGACGGACGCCTTTCTCCAGGAATGGCCACCGGGCTGCCTTTATGCATTTCCCCCATTCAACATGATCGCCCGAACGATCTCGAAGCTGGTTCGTCACGATTGTTGCCTGACGATCACTCCTCTGTGGAGATCCCGACCATGGTTCCCACGTCTGTTGGAGTTGTCGATAGACTACCCCCGGTTGATCCCGAGCTTCCAGGATCTCCTTCTGGATCCGGACGGGAACTCTCAAGGTCTGGTGCTACAACGGCAATTGCCTCTAGTAGCGTGGCTCCTTTCAGGGAACC